GAATAAAAGTATTATAGTTAATTCTGATATCTCTAAAGACATGTCTGTTTTAACTAAACCATCAAACTTAAGCTAGCTTTTATATTGATATTTTCCCAGATCGCATGAACCTGATTCTTTTGGGTTAGGTTCTATTCTATTTCTGAGAATTTAATTTATATAAGCATTTATTTTTCTCTAAGCCAATTACATAGAGCTCTTTTACAAATTAATTTTGGGATACCATCTGGAGGTAGAAAATATCGCACAATACACACACAGACAAATGAACATAGAGAGATGCAAATAGAGACCTTATAGCTTCTATTCTAAAAATCTAACCATGAGATGGGTATGATATTGTAAAACTCACTAGTTTATTAAAGAAGTTGGATCTCTTCAAATGACCTTTCAACCTTTTGTTGTCCTTCTGATAAGAATTTATCAGGTAAGAATTTTTACCTGTCTAAATTTTCTCTTTCAAAGAGATGACCTAGATAAGTTATCATTTACATCTCAAAGACACAAGGAAAGACTGCAAGTTCCTCCAGAAAGGACTTTGGTTTCCTGAGGCCATTATTTACAAGGCTTTTGAGATGAATAGGGGAGGTTTTGGGATTGCTAAAAAGGATTGGTGGATTTTGAATTGTTTCTGGAGCCATACTTCTAGTTCTGTAAAGACTAGATTTGTAAAACAAAAACAGCTGTTTTTAATTCCTCACAAAATTTTGTTCCTGCCTAAATGACATGAGAGGACTGACACACCCATCCACCTATGTTGGAATGTTTTTATTTCTCTCTGAGTTTAGGGGAAGCCTAATAAAAATCCTATCAGGCTTTGAATATCAGCTTCCAATTTGGCCAAATTTCTGATCATAGAATTATTAAATTCTTTTAAATAATTTGTAAGGTTTCAGCCAGGACAAACAGTAAATGTTTCTGGAAGTTTTAAGCAGTCCATGGACTTAAAAGGTGTCTTCAAAGAGCATGCAAAAGATATTTTCACAAGACCTAAAGTCACTTCCAATGATAGTCAAAAGGAGGGACTGACAACCTGCATGTCTTGAGCAGGCAGAAAGCCAAACCAAGTTTTTAGGATGTAAAATGAGAGTAGCAAAAAGGAAATAGCTATCCTTGGGAGAGAAAGGATCAATAACCAATTTTTCTAGATTTGGAAAGAAAGGGACAATGTGAAATTTTATTTTCTTCTCTAAACTGTGCTCAGGAAGTATTCATTTACAAAAACTTTTGAGGATTTTCTCTGGGTTTAAGAAATTCTTCAACGATGACCTTTGGTTCAGCCTTTGACCAGGGGGTGAAAAATACCTGAGATTTGTCTGCAACCTTGGGTGATTTAAAAACAAACAAACAAAACCTGTTTAATAGTGTCTTCAGAGTAGAAAGGCAATTTAGAGGATTATTAAAGTTAGTACAGTCATGCACCATATAACAACATTTGGGTCAACAACTGACGGCATATATAATGATGGTATATCATATAGCCTAGATGTGTCATAGGCTATATACCATCTAGGTTTGTGTAAGTACATTCTATGATATTTGTACATTGACAAATCGCCTAACAATGCATTTCTCAGACTATATACCCGTTGTTAAGCAGTGCATGAACATTTACACATGGAGTAACAGACCGTCCAAATATAGGAAGCAAAAATTGACAGGATTGAGGGAGAAACAGACATTTCCAAGCTTATAGAAAGACTTCAATACCTCATTTTCAAAAATAAAACAACCAAACAGAAGATAAATAAGGAAACAGACTTAAACAACACAATAACAAGACCAACAGATATTTATAGAACACTGTACTTAATAACAACAGAATACACGTCTCAAGTATACATGGGACATTCTCCAGAAGAGACTATATGTTAGGAAACATATTAAGTCTCAATAGATTTAAAAAGGTGGATATCATACTAAGTTTCTTCTATGACCACAACAGGTTGAAGTTAGAAATCAGTTACAGAAGGAAAACTTGAAAATCCACAAATGTGTGGAAATTAAACAATATACTCTTAAACAAACAATAGATCAAAGAAGAAATCAAAAGAAATTAGAAAATACTTGTAGATGAATGAAAACACAATATACCCAAATCATAGGATGCAGTGAAAAAGTGTTATGAGTGGAATTTATAGTTAAATGATATGAAAAATTGGGAAAATATGCCAGTCAGATGAAGCCAGACTTAGTTTAAAATACCGTATTTATTTTTCCACAAAAATTAGACTATGAAAACAAATCACCACTGTTTTATTGTTAGAAACAATTTCTACATGCCTTCCTTTGGTAAATGTCTATTAAGCACATGAAGTGTGCCCAAGCTTAAAGAACACACTTAGATGTGTTTCAGAGCTAAAGTCATACTATGTGCCTACAGCTGCCATGCCCTTCTTCAGGTACAGAGGCCACTCTTGCTCTTAAAGACCATAAAGGACGCACATGTGTAAGAAGTGTTGTTCAGCAGCCTCAGTGGTGCACCAAGCTGACCAGCAAAAAGATGTCATGATGCCCAGGATGCTCAAAGCACCTGGCACCATATAGGCTAACAAGACAGCCCACTGGCATCACATTTGTACCTACCTCAGACTCTCGCTCTCCATGAAATCAGGAGGTATGAGAAATCACAGAAGCTTCTCATCCTCAACAACTTTCTCAGAAGTTGCTTAACTGGTAGCCTGACCTGTGCTTCCAGATTGGGGCCATTGGAGTTTTCTTTACAGGAGGCCCCTGAGGCCTATCTACCGGTTGCCCTGCTTCAAGACACCAACCTCTGTTATCCATGCTAGAAGAGTCACATTCCTGCCCGGGAACTGCAGCTGTTGTGGAGATTCTGTGGGACAAGCATTTGGCTTATGGGCCCAGGATGTTTATCCTCTTATGGGGATGTAGATTTCGGATTTTGCTTTTCCCAAGGACATTACTAAAACATATGATGCAAATGGAAAATTAAGAACTGAAACCCTCACCTCCATTTTAAATATAATATATGGATATAAAGCTTAATGCAGGGAATAAGGGTTAGCAATTGAAATTGATGGCAACTTAGTGATTTCTGTTGCATACTTACGTCTAGATTTCATCCTTTCACTACAATCTTCTATACTTGTTTTCCTATATCTTGTGACTATGTCTTCTGCTCTGTTCTAATAATTTTGATATGAAAATAAATTATACAAAAGACTGCTTTGTCTCATCACTGCACTTGATTTCACCTCACCTACTGCTGAAGTATTTATAGGTATAGCCATGCCCAAACCACTGATGAAAAGTTAAGTTTCCCTTACGTATATGAAAAGGCTTCTAAGAATTGATCGCAATCTCCAAAATCCTTGTTAAAATTCTCTACTGACCCAGATGAGTTCTCAAGCTCTGGCCTAAGTCATCCACTACTTGAGTTTTGTTTGTTTGTTTTGTTTTTTTTAGGTCCTAACACACCTGTGGTGAAGGTGAAACCTCATGCTTTTTGCCCATGATTAGGGCCAAATCAGCTGCTAATTTGAGTTCTTTCTCATGGAGTTCACCATGATGTGATTCTATTACTCAAGAAAACAGAGGTTGCAGTTCCTGTGTTAAAAGGCATTGTGGGTCTCACCTGAAATCATCCCCGGTATAACAAAAATAGAACTTAGGGCAGCAGTGGCATTATATGGTAAAAGCAGTTAAAGGGTGTGTGCTGTTAGTACTATCCTGAAGTGTGACTTCCCTCTAGAATATTTATACATCTGGTGTATAACTTCTACCCTGGACTGTAAAAGAGAACCCAAGTAACAGTACCCCAGATTAATTCTGGCTTAATTTTTTAACACCTACAGCACCCTAGGTATTTGTAGGTGGTCTCCCATCCAAGTAGTAACCAGGCGCAACCCTGCTTAGCTTACAAGATCAGAAGAGATCGGGCATGTTCAGGGTGGCATAGCCATAGACAGTTCTGGCTTCTAAAAGCTATCAGAGAGAAACTGGGAGGAAGGTAGAGTGATAAAAAGGGGGTCTTTTTCTGTCTTTGTGGAAAAGCAATTTCCTGGTAACTGGACACTTAGAAATGTTTTGGGCTAAGTTACATGCGCTGGTTAACAGGGTCTGAGGCTTCGAAAATTTCAGAAATGGCGTCAGAAAAACTGATGTCACTATATAGTGCAAGGAACCCCCAACTACTCATCACATGAGGGTTGAATTTCTCTTAGGCCTATTTTTTAAATTAGGAACTATTCTCTTGCTTCAAGCTCTTTTAAGAAACAGACCTATATTTTTATTTTTAATAATATTAATAATGATAGTTAACTCTATTGCTCACTCTGTGCTAGGCATTGTTTTAAGTGACTGAAAAGAATAACTCAGAAAATGCCTCCAAAAAGAATTTCAGTAATTACCATCATTACTTGCCTTTCACAAATGAGGAAACTAGAACATAAATGAGAATTGACTTCCCCAAGGTCACATCGCCATAAAGGAGGGGAAAGGGAGTAAATACCCAAGTAGTTAATAAGCTACTTGGCAAATTCAGAATCTGGGTCTTATTGAGGTTCCAAATTTACTTTTATAATTTTTAAAATAACTGTTTTGAGGTATAGTTCATATTATACATATTTTTGGTATATTTTCATATGAATATATATGTAGTTTTGTAAACACCACCACAATCTAGATATAGAACATTCCATCGTAGTCACACATGCCCCTGTTCTCCTACCCAATTAATCCTTACTCCCACTGCTAGGCAACCAATGGTCTCCTTCCTGTCCCTCTAGATTGGATAACTTTCCTAGAATTCCATATAAATGGAAGGATACAGCTCTGCTCTCTCGTGTCTTCTTTTGCCCAGCATAATCTTCCTGAGATTTATCAATGCTGTTACATGCATTAGTAGTTCCTTCCTTTTTACTGCTGAGTGGTATTCCATTAAGTAATATCACAGTTTATACATTTATCTGTTGATGGACATTTTGGTTCTTTCCACTTGGGACTATTATGAATAAAATTCTATGAACACTTGGAAATTCTTTAAACATTATTTTATTAATTTTTTTTTGGTACAACTGTTTCTCTGGGAGTAAATAACTAGAATTGTTGGTTGTAGAACTATCGAATGGGTTTGTAATATATTATAGTTTTCATTTGCACTTCCTTGATGACTAACGCTTTGGAATCTTTTCTAGTTTTTGGCCACCTTATTTCCAACCTTTCCAACTTACTGGCCATCAATCTTTAGTGAAATGCCTATTTTAATCTATTTCCTATTTTTCCCACTTTAACTGGGTTGTTTGTACTATTACAGCATACATATTGTGGATGCAAGTCCTTTGTCAGATATACCTATGAGACATTCTTTCCCAATTTGTGATTTTTTTCATTTTGATAACAAAACCTTAAAAAGCAGACACTTTTTAAAAATCAAATTCCAACTTATTTTGCTTTTGTTTCATGTTTTGCATTACATCTTAATCTGTTTAGGGCATCTCTCCTGTGTTTTCTTTGGTATTGTTAGATTTGATTTCTGGCTCCAAGTTTTTCCATATTCTTTGCATTCATGTCCAATTCCCGGTACTCCAATGTACTCTAATGTTTCTCTGATGTACTCTAAGGCTCGATTTCTGGCTGAAATTTTTCCCACATTTATCACATTTATAGGGTTTCTCCCCTGTGTGAATTCTTTGATGTACACTGAGGTTTGATTTCTGGCTGAAAGATACTCCACAGTGGTCACAATTATAGGGTTTCTCTCCTGTGTGAGTTCTCTGATGTTTTATTAGGAGCGAATTGTGGCTGAAAGCTTTTCCACATTCATTACATTCATAGGGTTTCTCTCCCGTGTGAGTACTCTGATGTCCTCTGAGATTTGATTTCTGCCTGAAAGTTTTTCCACATTCATCACATTTATAAGGTTTTTCCCCAGTGTGATTTCTGTGATGGACTCTAAGGTTTGCTTTCTGTCTGAAAGCTTCTCCACAATGATTACATTTATAGGGTTTCTCCCCTGTGTGGATTCTATAATGTACTCGGAGTTGTGATTTCTGACCAAAAGCTTTCCCGCACTGATTACACATATAGGGCTTTTCCCCTGTGTGAATTCTAAGATGTTTTCTTAGACCTGAATTCACTTTGAAAGCCTTCCCACATTTATCACATTTATATGGTCTTTCCCCGCTGTGAGTTTTCTGATGATTACATAGACCTGACATATGGCTGAAAGATTTCCCACATACATTACATTCAAAGAGTTTCTCCCCTGTGTGAGCTATTTGATGTACTATAAGGATTGACTTATAGCCAAAAGATTTTCCACATTCATTGCATTCAAATGGTTTCTCCCCTGTGTGAGTTCTCTGATGTATTCTTAGGCCGTACTTTGTAGTGAAAGCTTTCTCACACACATCACATTTATAGGGTTTCTCTCCTGTGTGGGTACTCTGATGTCTTCTTAGGCCTGATTTGTCACTGAAAGCTTTCCCACATTCATGACATTCATAGCGTTTCTCCCCCGTGTGACTTTTCTGAGGCTGTGTCAGGCGTGAATTCATGAAGAAAGATTTTCCACATTCATTACCCTCATAGGATTTCACTGTTATGTGAGTTCTCTGACGTATGCTGAAAGTTGACTGGTAATCCAATGTCTCTGTACATGTGTCATAACCAGAGGATCTGTCTGTGGTGTGAGTTCTCTGAAGCACTGAGAGGGCTGAATTATGGCTGAAATTCTTTCCATATTCAATGGGTTTTACCCCTATATGAATTTTCTGATGTTCTCTAATACGGGATTCTTGGCTGAAAGATTTCCCTCCTGTGTCACTTCTTTGAGTGATTCTACTGAAATTATTTCTGTTGTCAGTACATTCATATCCATTAAACTCATAGTGATTCTTCTCTGGATGATTGCTCTGAGAGACTATAAGTGTTAATTTATCGCATTTCTTTTCTCCACATTTATTATGTTGATAAGATTTCACTTTTAGGTCAGTGTTATTAGATGTAATGAGGACGGTCTTTTCAAAGAAAGCTTTCCCACATTCATTATATTCAAAAGCTTGCTGCAAAGTCTGAACTGTCTTATGCTGAGTAACTTCTTCTGTATGACCAAAGTCTTTTACATTTTTATTGTAAATAAAAGATTTCTCTTCATTATTATTTCTGCTATCCTTAATACTGAGGAGCCATTTCTCATCTACATTAAGCTCCTGAGCCTTCTTTCTTAAATACTGACAATGTGGGGTTAATGAACTGAGATGCAAGTGAGTAGGCCCTATAGCGTCAAATTTACGTGGCATTATTCTTGCAGGAAAAATGTTTACTTCCAGATTACATGGTTTTCCTGAAATTTCTTGCTCTGTAATCAATGACTTTTTGAACAAAACTTGCCACAAATGTTTTCCCTGGTTTTCTGGTCTCTTCTCTGAGAGTTCATCAAGTTGGGATTCTTCTAAAAATGAGAAAATAAAAAAATGCAATATTTAATACATTTCTTGTAGAATGGGACTTATACATATGCTTCATTATATATTTGACGCTTGGGTTTTTGGCTCTGTTTCCCAACAATTAAGTAATTCCAAGTGTGTATTCTTTTTTTGTTAAAAAAAAAAAAAAAAACTTTTTGTGATAGAAAAAGAGAGGAAACTAGAAAAGAATATACATACGTATATGGCATCTTAAGTTATAATTTTTCAAAACTGGGTAGAGAAGAGGGTATAAAGAAAAGGAATAATTGAGAGTGGAGGATATATTTAAGAGAGTTGGCTCCTGAGAAAAGCAGCAGCAGAGAATGGGATGAACTCAACAAGAATTATGGCACTAAGTAGATTTTTAAAAAATCAATGGAAAATGGCTTTCATTGGATTTGTCTGAGATAGAGTTTGCATTGGGGAACAGTACCAGAGTCGAGATCTTAGCCAAATACAGATTACAATGGTAGGATAATTATTTGTTTATGTGATTCCAGTTGGAGCTCCATTTTTTCCATTCTACATGTCAACACTAAAATAAATTTATAATGGCACTAAGTTTCTTCTGTTGAAAGAAATAATTGGCCACCTTTTAACATATGTTTCACAGAAACATATATTTATCAGTGGAACTGAACAAACTGATGAGAGCTAAAGTAATTTTTCCACCAGTATTGGAGTCACCACTATATCCTGATTCTGGCCTCGGTATTACATCACGGCTGTTCAATAAGGAATCTCTCTTGACCATCAAATCTTACCTTTCCACTTTTCAGTTTGCTCACTCATTTCCCCAATACCAATCTTGCCTCTGTTCAATCCTTAATTCTATTTTTCACCTACTTTATATCCGTCTAGTTTTTAAAGACTGTGAGACTGTGAGAACTTTAAGGATCACATTTCAAATTGGCTCTAGAAATTTTGCAAGTGTCTTTCATATTTATTTACCATAAATTTCTTATGCATAGTTGACTGCTATTGCCTTGCTGCTACCCACACTCCATGCAAAAAATGTCTAGCCTATGCTAAAAATATTTTAAAGGCTTTGAATACACTGCCCTAAGTACTAAAAGATGAAAGATTTAAGTGATATGATTCAGGAAAAAAAAGTTTTATACTAACTACGTGCTCATTACATGTTTTAGCTATCATTCTATAGTCCATAGTATTTTATGATGCTCTAATCTTGACAAGATATTAGTCCCCATTAAATGATTCATTTCCAGTAATAACTTTATACTCACATTCTTTTCCTAAGTTATCTGCTATTCTAGTTTAGAATCTAGATGCCTCATCAGGCAGGGCAAAACTATTTTCCAAATCTTAATTAAAAAAATACAAAGGGTTCTAATTATCTTCTCATGAATTTAAGCAACATTTCTTTTAAAATCTGAAAGAAGTTACTGCCTGAATCATTCATTTTAACAAGGGATACATGGAGTGCACCCAAATATGTGACTCATGAGTTTTAAAGTAATTACCATCACTAAAATCAGGAGGTATCCTAAAATTGACAGCAAGTCTATAGTTAAATGGGCAGTACTTTCTCTTCTTTGGTTGTACCTAAAATAATACCTCACCTTTTAATCAACAGCACCTTATATAAAATATATTTTATGCAGCTTTGCTCACCTTTCCAAAATAAAACTCTCACTGATATTCTTTGCACATGTCTGTAACATAAATTAAGTCAGTGGTCCATAAAAAGCAGTATGCCTCAGAATACTTAGAGCTCTTTCACTGAACACAAGGGCTCAGAGGGCTCAGATCCAATGCCGATCTACACCAGATGATTCAAAAGCCCCTGAAATCTGACTTGGGCATTTGCATTTATGAATAGTGTTTTTTGAGTGAATCAATATGAAATACCTCTATCTGGCTTTGGAATCAATCTACAATGTTATTAAATACATACCAGAGTAAGGAAGAATAAAACAGAGATTCGAGTTGAGGAAAGGTATTCATTCACAGAGTCTGGCACAGAGTCTTTCTTTTGACACACTCAAGTGCGTTGAGTTTACAAAAGAAAGAGATGAAGTATAGGTAAAGTATTCTGAGAGTATATCACAGAAGTAGGAATATCAGCCAAAACTTAATGTGAGTAATAGTGCTTACTTTCTTTTTTCTAGATGAGGTTAGCTATTTTAATTATTTTTATTCCTAAAACCACCTTTAGGCTTTACAATTTTTACCATTATAGTTTTATCTTTATTCTGTCTTTTGCTTTGCTTAGTTTTCTTTAAAACTTTAATTTTTAAAACAAGTGTATAACACTAAAATTTTTCCTTTATACACTGCTTTATCTATAGTTCAAAGGTTCTAATAAATGTTTTTCATTTAAAAAAAAATTTCTGGATATTGTACAATATTGATTTACTCTGATAAAATAGGTTTTTAAAAGATATTTATTCATTAGTGATTTTAAGATAGAGGGATTTTAACTTTTCTTATACTGTCTGCAAGTTATATGTTATTGAACAATAATATCTCTACTTTATGGAATTTATTGATGCTTGCCTAAAATAGTTTTACATTTTGTCAATGTTTCAAGGTCATTTAAAAGGTTTATTTTTTGTTTTCAGAAGAGTTTTGAAATACACTTAACAGATTCATTTCATAAAATATGCTATTTATATTACCAGAGGTTGGTAAACTTTTTATGTAAAAGGTTAGAGACAATGTTTTTGGCTTTGCTGGTCATGCAGTCTCTACTGCAGCTACTTAACTCTGCTTTGTAGTATGACTACATAAACAAACTGATATGGCTGTGTTCCAATAAATGTTTCTTTACCAAAACAAGCAGCAGGCAGGATGTGACCTAAGGGTCATACTTTGCTGCTGAGCACTATTCTAGAGTCCACTGGCTCTGGTATAAAATCAGAAGGTCTATAATATCGAATGTGTTTCTATTTCTCCTTAGGATTGTTGCAGCTTTTTGTTTTATGATTCTTTATGACTATTTGGTACATTAATATTCAAAGCTTTTATATATCCTTTAAAAATGATTTTCTTTAGCATTATCAAAATGTCCTTTTTGAGTTGAAGTGAACCTTAAGTACTAGTTACATAAATAAACATTGAGTTATTTTTATGTTTATTGGCTTAACAGTTCATGGCTATATTTTGAACTTTCTAAATTATTTTTAAGTGTATCTCTGATACAATCTGATAGCCATTTTCCTTTAATAGGTGAATTTAATCCATTTACATTAGTTGATATGGGAGGTATGTTTGTTTTCCTCTATGTTATGTAGTATGTTTATATAGCTTTTGTGCTTAAAAGAGTTAACACAGCAAGCCTGAAACTGCTACCCTTAGAAAGTCTGCTTGCAAGATTAGCCCTGGGTTGGCATCTGAGAACTTAGATTTTGAGATGGTTCTCCAGAACCTAGTACCTAATGAACTTCCCTGGTTGATATTTCACACATGTTATCACAATTCATTGCTGGGGGTCTTGGAAGCTTACACCTGATTTCTTCTGGACTTTGTCTCATGCACCTTTTTTCTTTGCTGATTTTACTTTGTATCATTTCACTATATAAATCTTAGCTATGAGTATGACTATATGCTGAGTCCTCCTAGAGAATCCAGGAAACTGGTCGTGGTCCTGGGGACCCTTGATATAGCTTCACAGGAAACTTTTCCAGTAACAGGTCTGTTTTCTTTGCTCTGTTAAACATATTTAACTTCTAACAATTAGGAAGGTTGCAGTTTGCTCGTATAGTTGTCCTTTCTAATTACATTATATAATTCCTTAATCATCTGTTTATTTAGATGGTATCAATTAATTCGTTATTATATAATGATAAAATCAATAGTTCCTTTCTCTCTTCTGATCTGTTTACTCCCAATTTTAGTTGCTTTACTGACCTGTCTTAGTTTTTATCTTTTTATTGTTAAATATTCATGTTAGTTTCTTGCTTCAAATGGTATACTTAACTCCTATCATTCAAAGATGAGAATATCAACATGCTTACAATACATTTTGTCAGCTGTCCACCTTCCACATTAGACCGACTATTTCTAAAATTTCAAATGTAAAGCCCTCTAAAAGGAGAGTGCTGGAAAACATTTCAAATTGCTCACTTCTAGGTGATCAGTTTCATAGGGTATATAAATAGGTAGGTATAAGCTGGAGGGAGAAAGACAATGAGGTGGTTAAGGAGGTTCCAAGACTGGTTTAGCAGTAAAATGTACCAAATAAGATATCTGACAGCTTCATGATCAGAAGCTAAACATAATGATAAGATATCTAAGGGCTTTGAGAGACTCCCTCATTTTCCTGGGCTAGGAGTGGGAAGGTTCAGAGGGAGGTACGGGGAATTCACATCATTCCAGGAGGGAGGGATAGAAGGTGTACAAAGAAACCCTACTGCCCATATAAACTCTTGACCTCAACTTTTCAGGGCACTCAATTCTCTATTGAGCTGCCTGACTGGGCTTCTCCCAAGTGTACTATGACTAATAAATCTCTTCTACTTGCTACTCTTTGCCTGCTATCTTTCTTCTCCGAGTATTCGACCTCCATGCAAATCTTTCATGGGGGATCCAAGGACTGAGACCCAGCATCACACATTGTAGGCATCTAAGACCCAGTAACTACTCAGATATAATTTTCTTGGAGGCCTTCTACCAGTATTTAATAACTTACCTGGGGAGCTTCTGCTTAGAAATTCTTTCTCTAATAACCATAGAGCTTCTCCTTGTTCTAACATGAAGATCAGTTCTGGTTTTGTAAAGCAGTACCCTGTAAATGGGAAATAATTTAGAACAAGTGAGCTGCATATGAAGGAAGGTACAGTTTCAGAAGGTACAGCTTCAGAAGCAGCACATTTCTGAATGTGAAGGAAGGTACAGCTTCAGAAGCAGCACATTGAGGCTGCTCACTAGAAAATTGGAGGCGGGAGAGGAAATGACCAAAAAAAAAAATTTTTTTCTTACACTCAAAATAGATCACTCTCCTTAAACCCCCAAATCACAAGCCTACATAACATTAAATTCTAAATTGGTCAATTTCTTTGTTTTGAACAAGAGATTTCATAAGGACTTCAAAACCTGATAATAGAATAAAAGGAAATGATTTACCCCTCCATATCAGATGTTTAAAAAACCCATATAAACTATATAAAGTGGTTTTTATACTTTAGACAACAGGCACTGCAGACTGGGATACCTGAGAATAGGAAAGCAAATGAGGTGAGCCCTATGATTATCACATCTTACTGCTGAGTTTCCAACCCACAGCAAAACAGCTTGGCTGACTCAATAAAATGAGGCAACAGAACTGAATTTTAAAAAAGCCATGGCAACTAGAATTTGTAGAATAAATACCAGAGAAGAGAGAAGTACTGATACAGAGTCTTGGAGACCTGAGAAATGTTTCCTGAGTATTAACTTATATAAGCATGTAAGAAAAACAATGGAGGTTGGGGGAAAAACCTGTAAAAAGAGAAGGCTGAAAAATCACCAAGCACAGACAGAGGTAGGAAATTTCTGTTCCCACCAGCCAGGGAGAAAAAACTCCTAATGCACGGCCATTTGGGGAGAATACCAGAAAGGTATTTATTGCCTTAGTAAAGGAGCCAAATTAGTCCGAGAGTAAAGTGGGCTCAGTCTCCAACATAACAAAGCTTAAAGTAAATCTTGAAAGGATCAGGTAAATTCCAAATAACTACATTTCAGAAAGGGCCCCCAAAGGTTTAAAATATGGCAAGACTAGCACATAACTATAAAATTCATAACATATAGCACTCAATAAAAAATTGCTAGGAATGAATACAAGCAGGGATATATAATTCATCAAAGAGAAAAATCAATCCATAGCAACAGAGTAAGAAATGACACATAAAATTAATAATCAAGACCATTAAAACAGTTAATATACTCCATAAGTCAAGAGAAAGAGAAACATGAACATGATGAAAAAAAAGGGAATTTATTTAAAAAAGTTCCAAAATTAAAATCTAAATATAAAAAATATCTGAAATGAGAAAACAAATAAAAAAATAAACAACAACAAAAAACTGGATAGGATTAATAAAAGTATAGATATCACATGAAGAAAGATAAATGACATAAGACAAATTGATGACTTTAAGGAATTAACTGTGATAAGTTAAAACTGTAAAGAAAAAAGCCGCAGCAAATAAAGACTGGAATATAATAAGCAGAATTATCTGAGACCTATGGGATAATATCAAATTATCTAACACATGTATAATATGCACTTCAGAAGGAAAAAAAAAAAAACTTTTGAAGAAATATGAGCAAATGTTCAAACTTCGATGAAGTATATAAATCTTTAGATCCAAGAAACTAAATGAATGTCAAGGAGAAGAAATGAAGGAAACCACATCAAGTTACATTACAATTAAATTGCTAAAAACCACTGATCAAGAGAACATCTTAAGTAGACAGAGAAAGACTTAATAATGTACAGAACAAATTTAGGAATGAATGCCTACTCTGGTCAGAAATTTTATAAGCCACAGGACAATGTAGTGACAATTTTAAAGTACTGAAAGAAAAAAATAGTCAACCTAGAGGTCTAACTTAGCAATATAAAACATTTTGTGACAAAAGCTAAGTTTATCATCAACTGATATGTATTACAGGAAAAGTTAAAAGAAACTCTTTAGACAGAAGAAAAATACTATCAGGTGGCAATGGATTTACATGTAGAAATAAAGAACATAACCCGGAAACTTCAGTATAAAAATAAAATACTTTTCTCATTTTCAGAACTTTTTTAAAAAAATGGTAAATTATCTTTTAAAATAACAGCAATATACTGTGAGATTTATAGTATAAGATGACACCACCACAAAAGATGGAAGGTAAAAATGAAAAGTTATTAAAAATTCTTATGATACATATGAAGTATGGAGGTTCCTCAAAAAACTAAGAATTGATCTATCATATGATCCAGCAATCCCTCTATTGGGTATTTACTCCAAAGACTTGAAAACCCATATCTGAAAAGATATTTGCGTATCAGTGTTCATAGCAGTGTTATTCACAGTGGCCAGGACAAAGTGTCCTACGATAGATGACTGGCTAAAGAAGCTATGGTACATATATACATGGAATATTTCTCAGCCATAAGAAGAGATGAAATACTGCCATTTGCAACAACATGGATGGACCTTGAAATAATCATACTAAGCGAAATAAGCCAGACAGAAAAGGTTGAAAATCACATGATATCACATATGTGGGATATAAACCTAAAAACAACAAATGAACACGACAAACAAACATAGACTCATGGACAATGGACTGGTGATTACTAGAAGGGAGGGGGGGAAAGGGGAGAGGAAAAATAAAAAAATAAAATGTTAAAAGAAACTGAATTTGAAACTTAAAATGCTCCCCAAAGATGAAATCTCCAGGCCCAGATGCTTTTGCTAGAGAATTCTACCAAACATTTAAAGAAGAATAAACACCACTCATACACAAAAAAACAGAATAGGAGAGAACAATTTTCAACTAATATTATTAGACCAGAATTATCTCAATACAAATACGAGACAAAGACAGTACAAAACAAAGGCCAATTTCTCTCATGAGTAGAGATGCAAAACTACTTTAAAAATATTAGCAAATATAATTGAGCAATAAATAAAAAGAATTATATGGTACAACCAAGTAAGATTTACTCCAAGTATTGAAGGCTGGTTTATGTATGTGAAAATCAGTCAATATAGTCTACTAACTTAATGGAGTAAATAAGAAAAAAGACACAGCAGTAGATACAAAAAGAATACTTGACAAAATTTAATATCCATTTGTGAAAACAAGGAATAGAGAGGAGTTTCCTCAAGTTGATGAAGAATATCTGTAGAGAACTTCTGCTAAATAACATCATCTGGTCAGAGACAGGATATTCCCTTTAAGGCCGGAAACAAGGCCAATATGTCTGCTCTCACTACATCTAAGAAGGTTCAACAGGATCTCAGTATAAACGGACATATACAAATATTTCTACAAATAAGCAACTGATAGGAAACAATTTAAAACATAATTACTCAAAATAATGAAATACTGAGGTATAAATCTAACAAAACATGTATAGATCTTTTATGCTAAAAACTACAAAACACTGATGAAAGAAATCAAAGATGTAAATAAATGTATATATTGTCGTGTATGGACTGCAACACAGTAAGGGTGTTAACTCTTACAAAATTGATAAGTTACATATTTAATGTAATTCCTACCAAACACCAAGCAAGATTTTAAAAACATAATGACGTTATTAGAAAATTAATACGTGAAGGCAACGTAATTAAAATAACTAAAATAATATTGAAAACAAAGTATAAAGTGAGAAGCATCACTTTACCTGACTTAGAAAACCCAAAACTAGACTGACACAAGTACAACCAACACAAGTACAAAATCACCTTTGATTTTTGACAAAGGTGAAAATGCAGTTCAATAGAAGAAAGATAATGGTGCATGAGCAAATGGGTCTACATAATGGGGAAAAGTTCTCAATTTAGACCTCACTTCCTATACAAAAATTAACTCAAACTCAAAATGCACCATACATTTAAATATAAACGAAAATAGATATAATTTTTAAAATCTGGAGAAAATCTTTGGACCAAAGACTTGAAGTGTTCTAGACACAACAACAACACTACAACAAAAAATCCCCAATAAATTGAACTTTATCAAAATTAAAAATTTAGTTCTGCAAACACTTTATGAAGAGGATTGAAAAGACAAGTTACAAACTGGTATAAAAATGTGCAAAGAACATATCTGACAAAAGACTCAACTGGACTATACAGACTCACAAAACTCAACAGTCAAAAGAAAAAAAACGCTCCAATTAAAAAAAAAGTGCCGGAGTCCAGTACAAGATGGCATGGAGGAGGAGGTCTCAGCCTTTGTCCCTGCCACCCCCTCCCCAAAACAATGATCTAACAACTACCCACTGATGAAAATACATCTTGGACAGCTCTAGAGTATAATTAAGATACTGCAGCAGCAACCCACTGTAGCACAAAACCCAAGGAAAGCCACATAGAAAAGAATAGAAAGCATTTTGCATCTGTCATGCAATCCTCTATCCTGGCACAGCTTGGTGCCAAGAAAGGGTTTCCTCAGCTTTGACCTCCCCCAACAGGGCAAAGTGAGAACAGGTGGCAGCCTTTGCCACCAAGTATCCCAACAGCCCTTGCTGTCGCAATGGATACTTGCAACTGACTCAAGTTAGGATGGCCAGTTTTCACAGCTGATGGAGCTGCCTGGAATCCTTGCTGCTGCAATACTCTGGAGCAGGAGATGCTACTGTGCTATCTTTGGAGCTGGACCTGACCCTCCCCACTTGTTCTGGCAATACCATGCACATGCTTATTTAAGCCCTGGACTCTGGTGTTGCCATTGTGTATGCCTGCACTCAAGTACCAAAAGGGATCTCCTTGACCACAATGCCCCCTGGCAGGAGAAAAGGAAAGCGGGAGGAATACAAGAGCTTTGGCTACCAAGGACTCTAATATCCCTTGCTGCTGCAGCAGATACCTGCAGTCTTCGCTTCCAATGATTCCCACAGATTTTTCCAATGCTGACTTCAGCTGATGGAACTGCTCAGTGTCCACACTGCTGCTGTCTCCCCACCCTAAGTCAGAGCTGCTGCACCCTACCCAACAGGCCCCCTCATACCCACCTGTAGGTAAAGGTCTCTCCCTACTGAATCCAGTCAGTAAAATCTGGAAGAGGTGCATGTTCTTTCAAGTG